TCTAATCAATCAGTAAGACATAAAACCGCTATCCACTCATAGCTGCAGCGCACGGTGGAGAATCGACAAAAGAATCACCTTTACCGGGTAGTTGGATCGAACAAGTTACCTGAATTATTTTAGGCAACGTACAATGCGTTTTCAATTTAGTGCGGCTCTTTTTATTAATTATTTAGGCTGTAGGCGAAAGTATGACCAAATAGCTGCTTGTTTCTCTTAAATAAACATCAAGCAAGCCCTGACACTTTAATTGCTTGTTTTCTTGCTTTTAGCTTTTTCGGCATGTCAAAGAGTACACACCATTTCTGGCTTGTCAGTCATTTGTTCTTGAAGTAGGGACTATATAAATTTATGTTATACTTACTACAACAAACAACCAATAAGAAAAAAAACAAACCATTGATGAGTATATGAAAAAACCATTATTTTTTCTTTAACTTAGAGACCTGTGTAAAATTAACTAATTATCGAGACCAACAAAGTCTATGTTGCCTATTAGAAAGTGGAGCATCTGTAGAAATAATATAGTGACTGGACTTAATGGACCTTACTTATAAATAAAGCCTAATCATGACAATAGTTTTTTACTGAACTCAACAAGTGCTGAGGGGACTTTGAGAGCTGATTTGAAAATGAAAAGCATTGTAACTTTTATAATCGCAGCACTCTTGGCCGGTATACAAGGTAAGAAATTCTTTTTTGTTACATCCTTTAGCCTGCGTGGCAGCCACCGGTTTTTTTATGGTGAAGGGAGAAATTTCAAGGACGCTCGCGTGCACCAGGGGAGAAAAGGAGAGAACGCTGACCAAATTGACTATAACCGGCGCCTGTCACTGAGGATACTCGAATAAAGTCTCTCAATACCAAGCAAAATACTACGAAAAAAAATGGTCAGTAGTAAAATATATCCTATATCAGAATTATCCTTATCCTTTTGGGAGCCTGATGAAAAGAAAGTGTTTTCTTCAGAACTGATCTTACATAAAAATGATTTTATTACAAAGACATCGTAAATTCCACTTAACAGCCTGTTAACAATTTTGTGAAATTTCTCTTTCAAGGCAATCCAAGGCGTGGCCCTGAAGTGGACTATTTTGTTGAGAGTGACGATGGATCCGGCACACGTAAGTCTGATAATACTCAAATATGAAAAACAAAGTAAAGAAATAAAGTAACGAAAAGCGCAAAGTAGCTGGGTGGCGTTTTATAAAATATTTTTTTTCTAAACAATCGGAAGATCGTAAATGGAACTGCTAATGAGAGTGTGTAAAACCACAGGCGGCTTAAGCGTTTGTCGAAGTTTGTAAGAGAAATAAAACTTACTACAAATAAATGGATTATAACAAATAAAAGTTTTTAGCTAATTATAGGTATTTTCTCCTGGTATCGTTGGCGTCTTTCTATACGAAGTTTTAGCGCGATTTTATTGGTATAACATCATCCCACCTGATTATAATTTTATTACGTCTTCATTTGCTTGTTCCTCAAAAAATTTAGAATTAAAGAAATAAACATTTTTTTTTACTATTATTCAAATGGCAGTTGTCACCCACCAGGTTGTTTTTGAGTTTCTTGTTTAAAAATATGTTTAGGCAGTAGTTCTTTGGAGAACGCTAACTGGTTTTGAAGAATTAGCCAGGGGCCCTTTTCAGTTAATCAGAAACGGAGACATGGAGCTTGCCAATGCACTTTGCAGTAGGATTTCAATAACTCCGACTCTCTATATACATTTTGGGCGAAAAACGAAACAAGAAATGCCAGGAGCCCATCATGGACTCCTGGAAATGCTAATATACCTACAGCTCAACGCGGTTCTAAGCTACTCGTTTTCCAAATAACTCGCCTTTAGCTAACAAGGATTCAGTGTTTTTTTTTCAACTTGACATTTGATTGTTATTGTTGTTGATTTAAGCGCCAACACCTCCTCCACCCATGAGTACAGCTGCTCCACCAATTCCCAGCTCTTCCGGGCCGACTCCCTCTGGCGCTCCATCATCTTGCGGTGATCGCCCTTCTGGTTCCGTTTCAAGAATCGTTGGTGGAAAGGAGGCAGTCAAGCACAGCATTCCATGGCAGGCAATGTTACGATCTGGGTCTCAATTCTGCGGTGGTTCGCTTATACACAAACAATGGGTTCTAACTGCAGCTCACTGCGTCGAGAATGAATCACCAGGCGGCTTTAAGATCTGGTATGTAGTGCAGAATTTAAGTGCTGATAAAAGGTAGTATCATGAGCCTTCATACATCTTATTTTGACCAGTGAAATAAGAGGTTTAGAACGGTGCAGGTCTACTGCTTATTTTAGGGCAGCAACAGTGTAGTTACATCTTGCTGTTATAAAAAATTATCGGCGCTCATTCCTATGTACGTATCGGTGAATTAATAACCATGGCCTGTGGGTGTAAAAAACAATAAGATGGCAAAAAGAAAATTTCTCAGGTTTTTTTGTTAAGATTATCTTTTACTGGAAAAGCGTACGGCTGCACACTACTAATTTTTTTGTATCTAGGTTGGGGGCTCATAGAAAGGAGGTGAAAGAGAACGCTACTCAAGAATTCGAAGTGATTAAAATTGTGAGGCATCCTGATTACAATGCTAAAGGCAACACTGAAAACGACATGGCTTTGATCAAGCTCAATCGAGAAGCTGTATTGGGACCGGGTGTGGGGTTGGTCTGCCTGGGAGATAACGGCAATCACTTGCCCCTGGATGACCTCAACAATCAGTGTTTAATCAGTGGGTGGGGTACTCTTGAATCTGGAGGAAATCAGCCAGACGTGTTGCATGAAGTCATGGTGCCCCTTGTGTCGAAATCCGTCTGCCAAGGAGCCTACGGTAATCTAGACGATTCCATGTTGTGTGCAGGGTTCAAGCAAGGCGGCAAGGACAGTTGTCAGGGCGACAGTGGTGGTCCGTTGGTGTGCCAGTACAACAACAAGTGGTTCGTTGAGGGAGCAACCAGTTTTGGAAAAGGGTGCGCTGCTCCAGATGCGTATGGCGTTTACGCTAAAGTACGTCATCTAAGGCAGTTCATTGACAGCACCATCCAGGGGTAAAGAAATCAGCAGTGAAAAAAAAAAAAAAGAATCTGTTTTATTAGCGTTGTAGTGTATTAAGGAATGGCTTAGGGGATAGAATTAAATGTTAAATGATAAAATTTTTGTGGTCGTTTCATTTTGTACCTTTGCCATAATGATAACGAAGGGATGGTTTGAAGGGAAGCGAGAACACTTCCAGCGTAAATTACAACTGCGATGAATAGTCTTCGATGGAGACTGTGATTTAGGGTCGCATTTTGAACATTTCGTTTCCTTCAGTAGTGGTTCATAATGATAGCGCACGCCATTACTGCATGTCCACTGCATGTTGCAGCTCGTTTGGACTTCTTATCACCTGCCCCGGGGTACGCCTAAGACAGTTCAATTTCTTTCGAGCATTTTACAATTATTGAACGTAGATCGATGAGAATGGCCGAGGTGGATAACAGCCTCCGAGATCAGCAAGTAATTCTTCGTATCATGCGAAAGCCAAATTCAGTAATTGTTTTATTATTCATTAAAAATGTTTCTACGTACTTATCAAGCTTGCCTCGTCGTAGACTTTCTCCAAACCTTTGGCCTTGCAGATACTGCTCAAAAAGTAGATGACATCCACCGAGCTATATATTTGCTATTCCACCTGCAATTCTTCTGTTCAGTTTTAGTCAGAAATTGAACGCTATTTCGTATTAGAATAGCGGTTCCAGTTCACTATTGCCCAAGAAGCCTCGGTTCCAGGCAAATATACCATCGATCAACCTCATTTCAAAACAAATATACTATCGAGTCGATGGTATATTCAGTCGTATCTTCTAAATTTGGTCAACGTCGACTGGTTATGAAGAATTAGCCCAGAGGATTGAGCCAATCAGAAACGGCAAAATATTTTAAATGAATAAAAATGAGTCATAGATTGAATCAATTTAAAATCCTAAGCTGTAGTTCCTAGAGGCAAAGTCCTCGATCTCGGCCAGGGACCATCCTACCACAAATCGGACAAAATAGAAAACAGTGTTCCAACAATGTAGATATTAAAATATCTAGCAGTTGGTATGCGCGCGCGCTGCCGTATTTCAATGTTGGCACCATGCACCTTTTTTTTTTTTAACAATAATCATCTTACTAATCTATACCTAGTTTTCTCGGTTTGCACTACAAGTCACGAAATGCTGTTTTTGTTGTTGTTTTTTTGCTGTTGCATCGAGGACCTCAAGCTCGCAGTCGGGTGAGTAAGAGCATCTCAACTGGGTGGAGGCGATTAACGGTTATACCAGCTATTTTGAGAAATGTTGTCGGATAAAGTGCACGCAACAACCCCGAAAGGTCTTGTGGGTGGTTTTGAGTTCACTGTTTTTCAAAGAAATTTCAAAGAATGGCAGGAGAGGCCATAGACATATGTCTGCGAGTGCTAAAGGAAAGCAACAAAAGTAGTATAGGTTCGACAGCTACAGTGTCAGGAACAGTGTATTGCGCATATCCCATATAACCTTTCGCGATTGTCGCGTGCACATTTTTTTCCGACAACCTTTCTCGAAATAGCTGTATAAGAATTGGTTCATGTCGATAGATGGATGCATGTATAGAAATGGGGAGAGCACCAGGGGAGCGTAAGAGTTGCTCCGAGTGAACTAAGATGCAACATGGGAGAAGGTTATGTTAGCAGCATTCAAGGCAATTCCTTTAAAGCACGTTTTTAAATTGCGTCTTCATGTTAGAGCTCCAAGCTATTTTACCGCCACACTTCCTAGTAATCGAAAAGCTTAAGTCGCGTCATGGTTTGCTGTTGCCCTGTGCCTACGTACTTTTTACAAACATGCACTGACATTCAAAAATACTCTGTGAAAAAACAAATTTGTTTAAAGAGTTTTTTTAAAAACAAATACATTCATGAATTTGTCTTGTTTTGTTACTACGGTCATCAGAAACGGAAACAGGAACGTATTTAGACAATTGCAGAATATTAACATAAAAAGTAGTTGGAGCGATTAGCTACGTCCATAATCGCGAAAAATACTCTAAAACGCAATCTTTTACAGCTAAGAAAGCAACATCTTTGGCTCATTGACTTTTCCGACAATCGTTCCTCAAACTCAGCCATGCAATAAGAATCAGTTGACTGATTATCGGCATTAAAGTATTTATGCGAACCGTAGGCTAGTGTCTATACAGCTGAACTAGTGAACCGTTTGTACAGTTCCTCGCACAACAAGATGCAGACGTCTAATTACTTACTGAAGTGTTTTGGTTGGTTGTTATTCAAATGAAATAATCAGGGGCTTAGCCAGGATTTTTCCAGAGCTGCACACAAATTTTTCAAATCCTCCCTTACAACAACGTGTTCAAGCTTTATAAATCCCGGCATCTTGCTGCAATCGCCTCACTTTCCCCCGCCTTTTCACTCAAGGAAAGCACTTTAAAATTAACAAATTTATAGAGACAAACTGAATTTTCTGATATAGTCTGGTTGATAGGCACAGTACAACCATGATTCATAAAGTTCTTTTTTAACGGTTTAATGTTTTAATTTAATTTACTTTAATTTCAATACGTAAAGCCTGCCGTTTGATCAGAGTTTCCCAGCTGAATCATGTATTAGGGTTAGGGAAGGGGTAGGGGAACAAGTGCACAATTATTTGTGCCACTGATTTGACATTAAGAACGTACACCCTCTTTCCTGACTAAAAATGTGCTATAAGAATAAAATCCTTTGCTCAAGGGCACCCAACCACGATTTTCCTCTAAATACATTGAAAACACTCTTTATGCTATCCAGGGTACATTTAGATACCTAGAAATGCATTCTAAGCGGCGCTAAAAAAATTGTATCTGTTCGGTCATCCTAGGGCAACTTGAGTCTTTTCGACATTACAAGGGCTTCAGTATTATATTCCCGAAAATTGTAGATGAAATTTAAAGTTTTATGACAGAGGGAATTTTTCTATTTTCCTCTTTCCGTTACATTTTTGAATCCGAAAATTTTAGGTTTTCCTCTTCTTCGAAAAATAGCCCAACATGGGAAGTGAAATGTGAAAAACTTAAGTTCAGAAAAACGTAGGAGATTTATTAGACAAGCTTCGAAAATTGTACATGAAAGGGATTGATCATCTTGAAATTTTTAGCCGTCCTAAACCAATAGAAAATTCTAGGCCATGTTTAGTTTTCCAAACAGATATTTTTTACAGAAAACAGTTGTTGGGTTTCCCTGTTTGCTGACTACTGACTGAGGAAATATAACATAATAAGTCGAGCTCCATCTTCAACTCTCTGAGTAGGCCGATGAAAGAAACAGTGAGCCGTGGACGGCGTACTACATGCAAAAGTGCGAAACAAAGAGGCAAGATTCATAACCCTAAACAAGTAAACTTGTAAAAAATGTCCTTTATGAAGCCAAACCCAAAGATTTACCCTTAGTTCGATTTTATTTCAGTAACTTAGAAATATTGAAATATTCAATTGCTTTGAAATTTCATTAAAATGCTTAGCAATGATAAAACTCTCAAAGAACCGATTTTATTTTTTCAAAAAATAAAATATCGATTAATTATTAAACTGCGGCTTTATTATTAATATTATTAATCGGCCTTAATTGGAATTAGGTTCGGTTCATGAAACGTTCGGCGTCTGAACCGGGCCTTAGTGTGAAGAAATATACATGCATGCATCCAGTGTGTAATATGCCACAAGCCTACGATTGGTATAAAGCCTTCAAAGTCGATAATCAGCTAACTGATTCTTATTGACCTAGTTAGATTCGGTCACCCTCCACCCCTGTCTAGGCGTAGAATTTTCCAGAAACCTCGATTGGAGCCAGCATGTAAATAACAAAGTCATAAAGACCAATCGATCAATCGGCGTTTTAAGCGGGACTTAAAAAAGTTTTTAAGAGCCAAATATTCATTGTAGTTTGTAAAATTTTCATTTTATCCTTTTAGTCGTTAGCTCTTGTATTTTCATGATAGTTGAATCTTTTGGTATGACTGTATTTCTTTTTTTCACTTTTTTTTGCCCTTTTTAGTCGTCTAGCCTTTTTAGCCTTCTAATGTTATAACCACTACAGTCAACTGCCGCTCACTAGAACTTCGCGCTAACTGGAACCAAAATCGATTTCCCTTGGATTTCCTTCATACATTCACTGTAATTTTACCCTCGGTAACTCGAACCCTCCATGACTCGAACTCCCGCTAACTCGAAGTAATTTTTGATTCCCTTCAGATCATTTCTATATAATTTTATACCCTTGATAACTCGAACCATGTTTGAAGCGCGTGACAAGTCGAAAAAGAGCAGTGAGCTCAGTTCACAACATCGAATTTATTTCAAGACAACCGTATATTCCTTGTCCTCACTTTTTTGTCAGCCCAATTGAATACTGATGTTTATCCATGTACTGATTAATTAAGCTCTGTTTTTTTAATTTCTTTTTCAAAATGGCAATATACGTTTTGCTTCCCCTGAAGTGAAGTGTGCATGATACTTGCAATCCACCCCTATCCCATTTTCTCATTTCTAGTTATTTGCTTCGATCTCCCGATAACTCGAACTCTCGCTAACTCGAACTTTTTTCGATTTCCTTGAAGGTTCAAGTTATCGGCAGTCGACTGTTTTTTTTTTTTAGATTTGACTGTTATCAGTAGTTTTAATATTCTTTAATCTTAGTTAGAGGACCTCCCTGAAAACCACTTAATGTGACAGGAGCTTTCTCTAAAAAGATTATTATTATTATTATCTCTTTTATCACAGTCTTTGCTGGTTTTCTTTTCGTGCATCAGCCGGGCGCAAACCATGCACCTACAGCGTCAGTCACTCAAGTTAATCATTCTGTTTATACACTGAGCACCTTTCTGAGGATTCGCGTAGATCCCAGCATGGAGATCTTTTGAATCTCTTTCATAGTAGCTCTCTCTGATACTTTCTTGATGTTTTCTATCATACCCTTCTTCACTGTACCAAGCGCACCAACAACCTCAGGGATCACTACGGTTTTCATATGCCACATTATTATTACTATTATTATTATTATTATTATTATTATTATTATTATTATTATTATTATTATTATGCAATATTATGCTTAGTGATTAAGAGTCACATTTACGCCAAACGGCAAACGTGAATTTGTATCGCCTCGTGACCACGTTTTCCCCTTAATTGTCGTTTACTATTTTTTATTTATACTAAAGAAATAAGTAGTTTCACGCCAGTGTTATCCGTAAGAATTGTTCTGGAAAGTTTTTATCTGCTTATTTTCTATTCTGAGAAATTCTGAACTTGTATCTGACGTTTGTCGTTAGTCTTAAACGTGACTCTCAATCTCTCTAATACACATGTATTTCATGAGTCTGAAAAATAGCAGAATAGCGATTTCTTGCCAATTTTCACTGTTGAAAGAACTGAGAACCAATTATGGATTGTGATAACTACAGTATGTCAAAAAGGTTTCATATCATAGATTTTTCTCAAACCTTGCTAAGGTAAAAACTACGGTTTAAACTATTGGTACATTAGAGGATCCGAGTCTAAACGAATTATCGTACTTTTCGAAAACATTGTATTTTGTAGATTTCATTTCATCTTTTTTCTGGTGCTATGCAAGGGACGGTGTCAACAAAACGTACTCTAAAATTAGCTTCATTGTTATGCTATATGTTGTTTCACTTTGTGGCTTTCAGTACATGCAGTACAGCCAAAATTATGAAGCATCAAAGACGAAGGAATGAGACTTTGAAAAAAGGGGGTGAGTCTTCTTAATAGAGCCAAGGTCAGCCAAAATGAAACACATTTTAGGCATCCATGACTGAACAGTTACAACGAATTAGATTTTTTTCAGCAATGAAAATAACTTGTAGTCTTTCCCCGTCGAAAAGATAAATAGATAAAAAATTTCACTTCGTAGAGCTGAGAATTAAGATTTGAGACAGTTGAGAACAAAAAACAAGCTGTAAATTTAGTTTATTTTCTAAATTGTTAGGTTTTTTAATTCATGACTAATCAATCATAAAAACGCTAAAGAATATATTTCGACTGTTTACTTCAGGCTGGTGCAATTACGAGCGAAAAAGCTGAACTAACAATTACTGAACTGCATGCGAAGCAGAAAATATGATTGTTACTTATTTGAATTGAGTTGTAAAATGATGGCTTTATATTGATGACAGTTTTAATTCGCAGGTCTCCGTTTTACCACTCTCTTGAGTAATTAAAACTGAACCACCTGCCTGTGCTAAATACACAAGTTGATTAACTCTAAACAATAGTGATTGTTTCGTTCACAAGCTAATCGAACAAACTTTAAAAGTTCAATGAAATTTAAAGAGAAAAATGTTTGATATAGTTTTGTAGAGAAACTAATTCAAACACAACTAATTCAATAAAATTGACTTTTGCTTTTCCAGCTCTGATCAAATTGCGGTATGTAGGTGGGGGAGGAATAAGCATAGAGATGTTTGTTATTTTGTCTGAAATTTCAACACGTTTTTGTTTGGGATTAGGTAGACATGTCTCGAGTTTCAACTTAAGTTTTTATGCTAGAAAGTTCTATTTGTTACTAGTTTTAAATAGTCTGCATTATTAAGGTTGCGAAGGGCTTATCGATAAGCGGACAGCATGAAAAAAAGGAAAACGATTGAGGGACGATTACAATTTTTGAAAAAAAAAGATCATTTATTTGCTTTTGTACTTCCTGTTACGGTACGACAGTCAGTTTAATATTCATATATTACTCATATTTCAATAAATAATGACGCTGACGCAAATTTACCTCTCCTTTTGAAATTCAATTTCTTGTGTTAATTAACTAAAACATCTGTCCTAATATAGACTTGTTAACAATTTTAGGGCAACATTAGCGACAAAAAAAGAACCCTTGAAATCTTTTAAAGCTGTAGAAATAAACTAATGGTAAACCGCTTTACACTGGAAGCACAATGACAGCTATCATTTAGAATCATTTAGAAAGCAGAAATAAATATAAGTACAACTTACGTTCACCGAGTTCGCGTTCTCTCTCACTCTGAAACAAAACACTAGCTGGTAAAATGAAGTCGATGATCTCCGTTCTGGCTTTGATGTTAACGCTTTCTAGTGCTGAAGGTTAGTATCCAACGTATTTTTAACTCTGAGATTCAGGCGGGAAGTACTAAATTTAGCCAAGTGACTGAAACAAGTGGTAATACGGTCATTGAGTTTTTGCAGAAACTCATAAGGGCTTGAATAACCCCTTATGGGTTTCTGGTTTTTGTAAATAACAGTTTTTGTCCTGGCTTTGCTCTCTTAATTCCGAACCTTTTTCAACAAACGGAAGACTTTTGTTAGAATATCGATTATGACGAAACAAGCTACTTTTATGCTGAAAAGGAATTTAAAAAAATAATCCTGAAGTACAGAACTTTTGACTTAATGCATCAGTCAATTCCACCTGCGCCCAGCCCCCCCAGGCTGACCCCCGGGCATTAGCATTTTTTTTTGCCTTGGATGGCAAATTTCCGGGGGGGGAACTCTTGAGCTGTCAAATTCCCGGGGTGGGGACGAAAAAAAGAGGGCAAATGCCCCGTCCTCCGTCAACACTGCAACATTTTTTCATTGATCGCACAGTCAAATAGGGCCGTTTTAAGCATTTTAATGTGAGATTTTTTTGGTTTAATTAACGTCTTCGTTTGTAATAGCGCGAGGATTCTAATTAAGACTTCACGCCGCGACGACATGCACCAGTTTTAATATGGTTTTAGTATTGGTATAAAATTATTGACATTAAAATTAATAGAGCGCTGTAAAGTTATATGTTATGAATAGTTTTATAAATATGAGAGGATGTTCTTCAAAATAATAATATCAACAGAAATTTGATTCAATAACCAAAAAACGTTGATTCACATCGATAGCTCCAATTTCGCTACGTAATTCTGGCTTGATAAGCAATGAAGAAATGCATACATACATTTAAAATCGAGAACATGCCTTTACAACCCTCTACAATTTATTTCTGTCCTTGACAAATGAGCCAATCTGCTTTTCTTCCAGTAAAACCTTATATTCTGATAGGAAACCACGTGCGTGTCAAAAGCTCGGGATTGACCCGGGGATTGGCAAATGCCCGGCCCCCGGGCAGTGGAACATTTGCAAATGCCCCACCCCCGGGACTGACAAGGCGGGCAAATGCCCCGCAGTTGCCCGGGGGGGGGGGCTGGGCGCAGGTGGAATTGACTGATGCATAAACATTACAAAACCTTTTCCCAGCATAGAAACACTTACAAAAGCGTCTTTTCAGACTGGTTCTTTTAATAAAAACATAACAAACCTTTTCACCCATTTTTAATCTAAATTTTCACAAACGAATACGACCGAGTCAAACGTATTCCCAACAATGTTTTTCGGACCTCCTATCAAAAACACCATACTTTTCCCAGACTAAAGTCAGTCAAAGCTAAAAAAAGGTAGTTAGTAGAACCCTTGACCCTTTTTTGGGTAACTTTCTTATAACTTTCCATTATTTTTAACCCCTTGAAAGCGACTACTTGTATTTGATACCTTCATTCATTGATTAATAGTAATAATAATAATAACAACAACAAACAATGATAAAAAAATAATGAAAGACTTTGCAATGCATATAAGACTTTCCAATCGAAATCTTGCAAAGAAGTTTATTATTTACAATTTACTTTTATTTTTATAGCGTCATGTGTGTCAACCTCAGCACCACCAACCCCGCCACCCCCCACACCCCCACCTACACCTCCACCTACAACCAAACCACCAGCGAGTAAGTACCGGTAAAAAGTATAACTAGATCCGCTGGCTCCGAACAGGATAAAGTTAATCCTGTTAGAATTAGCTGCACAAACAGATGTTACTTAAAACGAACAACGGGGAAAAAAAAAATCAAAAATGAGAACAAAACCTGACTTGAACTCAGCCCTATCAGTCACCTGATTACCAATTCTTTGTTTTATTCCCACTTTTTCTTAGCCCGTTCCCCGGGTTCGTTTCCCGTTCTCCGTTTTAGTAAAGTACCACATAAACATGCAAAATAGGCCTATCGGATGAAGGGCATTGCTCGTGCATGAATAGAAAAAAAGTACTAGTTTGTTGATACAGTAACTCCTTTATTGACCAAGTTTGTTATATCTTACTCAGACTACACTAATTTCAATTTACGCCGACACTTTCAATTGTTTGGCTCATTTGCAGTAAGATCTCAAATTGCACCTTATGAGCAACAGTATATACTGGTAAAGGTTTGCGCGTAATTGAAGCATAATTTGTTTGACAAATGGCGCTCACTTCATTTTACTGACACTTACATAATCATAAATTTTTGAAATTTTCACTTGTTTGAATATACCACTGTAGAGAATGAAAGACCGCAAAACAGAGAAAAACAAATTGCAGAATTAGTAACTCATATTAGTCTATACTCTCGGGGACAATATAGCTTTCAAACAATCACACGAGTGCACAAAAAATAACTCAGCTATTGTGTATGGAAATGTTGCTTCCCAGATCCTGCCTGTGATTTCGAAAGGAATTTGTGCGAATGGCGGCAGAGCAAATCGGATCAGTTTGACTGGACACGCAAATCAGGAAGAACGGCCTCTAGTAATACAGGACCATCAAGTGGACATGGAGGAAAAGGTTAGGTTTAATTATATGATCTTTTAAAAGCATTATAAAGTACGTTAAGAAAATAAAACACAAACAAGCCTCCGTTGGCTAAATGTGGCTCTAGATTGTTGAAGAAAAGACGAGGCAAACGCAAGCGTCTTCACCTGTTTAGGTATGCTCCTGGTATCCTTCGGCGAGGCTGTGAATGACAAGAAGATCGGAGAGGCAAAAAAAAGATAAAATAAATTTCAACCGCTTTCTATTTGTAGGATTTAAATTACTAAAGCTCTTGCTTAGGGATATCAGGGGCCCATGAGTAGTCATGGGCCCCTGGGAATATCTTTTAAGGGTAAGCTACTGACCCAGTTTGGTCTCCGGTGTTCAGTACTTGATAATTCTAACTGCCGACAATCATGCCGCCTGCTTCACATGGAGTCACCCAACCGGAAGGGGTAGCCAAACACCAACGTCTTTCCGTCAGCCCTTATTTGGCTCTATACTAGGCAGGAACTTTGCACTTTCTTGCGAGCTTACTGGTGCAAGAAGTCAGAAGAATATTCTTACTTGAGAGCTAACACTTTTTTTATACTGCTTAACCCTTTGGTGACGTTCGGCGAGTAGCCAAAAAAACGCATTTTTCACAAATGCCTCATTTTTGGAATGGTTTTTAGCTAATTATGGTACTTGGGTTAATGTTTGCTGGGTATGTGCCTCTGGCCTCTCAGAGCTCCTACCCCATTATAGTCTATTCTTTCCAATTATAGACCCCGTCTTATTCACTTTTTGGAAAATGTAATTTTCGCCATCCCAACTAAGTCACTTTCTATTAATGCATCTATCTTATCAACGTGGTATCAAGCGGCGGAATGTAATGCGGTCAATGCGAGCTTATTGTTAAATTTAATAAACAACAACTTTCTGAATTTTTAACCGAGAATCTTCCCATTTTGAATCTCTACTTACCCCAAAAATCCGAAAATTTGCGACCCCATCCTAGTAACTCTATTGAAAGTGCAACCCCATTAAAGTCACTCAAGTCGACCCCATCAAGCGGCACATCTCCATTAGCCTCTTGTAAGGGAGTACCCCCCCGGATCAGAAGTCAGAAGTCCGTAAAAATCAGCTGAATACACTGAACCGTTTTGACGGTTAATACTACTCTGCACTTTTGACGGTTTACGGTTAAGTTTTAGGCCGTTTGACAGCTGACGGTTAACCAACTGAGACCATCCTTAAAAAGCTTGCGACAGGGAAAGTTGAAAACTGCTCATTACGCTAAAAACCCGCTAATCTTATTCTCTTCGCAGGCTATTACATCTACATTGAGACATCTAGCCCCAGACGTCTAAATGACAAAGCAGTTCTTACGTTGAAGGGTGGCTCTTATCAACAACCTATGTGTCTTTCGTTTTTCTATCATATGTATGGACGAAACATTAATAGGCTCAACGTTTACAACAGAGGCGCTTTAGTTTGGTCCAAGGTTGGCCAGCAAGGAAATGCATGGAAGAAGGCTGAAGTGCCAATCACAAGATCGGTAGACGTAAGTTAATGGAAAATAATTTTTCATTTTGCTTCAAATTCTTCACTGATGTGAGCAACGCGTCTGGATAAAGCACTTTTGGCCGATTTTATTTACAGTCTTTCTTTAAGTGTACGGAATATAAAAGCACACAGAAATATGACCGCTCTACTGACGCCCCACTGGATGCATGCCACTCTATTCCAGTTTACTGTGATTATATGGTTCCCTTTTTACTTGAGAATTATTTAAAACTAAGGAGAGAAAATAAAGTATAACAATGATAAATAGTAATTGAAAGAACAAGCAAATGGTATAGTCATGAAGCACATCGTGCACCATGATGTAGCGTTCTAAGACGTTTCAAATAAACCTAGCTAAGCCTTATGAATTCACATTCCCCGACCCTAGATCCTTCTTTGTGCGCGGTTTAGCCTGAACGAGATGAGGTGCGCGAATGAAACAGATCTAACAGTAGGTATGTTGATTTCTGACGGCAGTCTGCGTTTATTTCTTATAGCTCAAGATTGAAGGAATTCGTGGCAGTTCTTGGGCAGGAGATATTGCTATAGATGATATATTATTGTCTGCAGGCAGTTGTGGAAGTGTGATACCTACCACACTTGGACCAACAGGTTAGCCATGTGTGTTTAGATTGTTATAGCAGTTATCTTCTATCCTCCCCAGAGACTACCGCTGGGTATTCCAATAAACATGGCAATAATTCCAAAAAAATTAGTAAGCGCGCAGTGGGCGATGGGACGTGGGAGAAGGCGGGAGCCTCCGCCTTTCTCTCTTTACCCTTCCCATCGTCCTCTGGGCACTTTCATTTTTCCCTCTCCCCAGTCCCCATCCTTCCGAAGACACAACAAACCGACAAAGGAGAGAGGCAAATATCAACAACTTAATTCTGTTTTTCTGATACACTCTTTTTTTCTATAAGAATATATTTTATAAGAATATCGAGGTTGAAATTTGCGAAATTTTAAGAATATTTTAAGAATAAACTCGAGGCTGAGATTTTGAAAAGAATATAATTTTGTGTGTTCAAAAACTTAAATACAATACAATTATATGTTTTCAACTTATTCCATTCTCTAAACGGTAAAACTTGCCAAGAAAACGAAAAAACCTGCTCCTACTATAATTGATACCCCAATATATTCTAAATTGACGGAAATGTCGTAAGCTATAATTTAAGAATAATACGAGTATTATACGAATATTTTCAGCCTACAATCGGAAGAAAAATAAGAATATTCAGCTTGGGCCGGAGAAACAACATTCTTATATAAAAAGGGAGTGTATGCAAGCAATTCAGCGTGTTGCGCAAGTTTTATTGCAACATGGATGCGCGTCGATATTGTGAACTTTGTTTGATACTCTCATAATTATTAATCCGGATCAGTCGCATCAAGACCGCGCGCTTAGTACTTCTAGGCCTTCAGGTTATCGACAGGATGGGTTTTAGTTCAATTAAGTTCCAAGGCTTCTAGTGAAGAGAAAAACAAGCAGACAGGCGTCTGCATATACGCAAACAAAGATGCACTTAAAAAGTTGTGGTACAGCGTTTTGTTATTAGGAACTTCAAGATGTCTCACAAATGATTGTGATAAAAAAAGGCTATTAGAAGTTTTTGTCACTTTAGTCGCTACGGTGATCACAGACAAGAAGGATGACCTTTTTCTCAATAATGGGCGCTGAAAAAAGCAATTGTCTCGTTTTAACAGGAATTATTTCATCAGAAGCGGGTGTCCATCTAGGGCAGAAGGTTGACTGTACATTCAAAGTTTTGAACACTGTCTCGATTGAATTTTTAATTCAGTATATTTATACTTTGAATAGTCGTACCTGGTTCATGCGGTGCATCACCTGTTACCCGTGTCATCGGTGGAATTGATGCTAAAACTGGAAATTGGCCTTGGCAGGTAACTATCATTTATCTTCTTAGTTTTCGAATCAAATTTATTTTAGCTGTGTTTAATATTGAATGACGACCGAAGAAATAGAAAACAGAATTAGGAAAGAGGAAATTGCTGAAAGAAGTTTAAACGCCTGAGTAACGTTGCTTTAACTGAAGTAGAATTGTATTTCAAATAAAAGTTAATTTGTTACCCGACTTAGGTACACGGTCTTAACTTGTCACAACACGGCTGTACGACCAAGAGATGGGGATAAGCTCACCGTTCGATCACCTTATCATGGTTGAAAGACGCAACATGTATTTAGCCGAGTTGGTGTAGCCGAGTGGTTCTAAGCCAAAATGACGCACTGAAGTTCAGTTCTTTCATCGTGTCCTGCAGTCGTTAGGTTATGGATAAGCTTTTCATTCTGGCCAAAAAAGGCAATATTCAACAGGAAGAATTCAGTCGTTTCTTGGAGTTTCTGTTCTGATTAAGTGATGATGGTATTCTATATTAGCAGGAGCCCTTATGGGCTCCTGATATTAGCTTATTCGCAATTGGGTAAAACATCTGGAAGATATGACTTTATTCTGTGAAACACTACACACTTATTATACCTTTATTCTGTAAAGAAAGCGATCGTTAGTGTTTTTGTGTATTTTAGTTTAGTATGACATAATGAATCCGGGGGGGTACTCCCTTATATACGCCATATAGGGTATGTGCCGCCCAATAGGGTGGGGTTTTTGCGCTGTTTTGATCTGAAAACGGGTACAGATATAGACTGCATGCGCAGAACCTCAAAGGACTAATTCTAAATGTCCGTTACTCAAACGGCTGTCTTATAGACAGACACCGTCTACATAATGTCGACTGTCTTTAAAAGTGGTTGCGACATTCCTAGTACTATTCAAACATTTCCGAAATATCTTGGAAATCTGTTTATGCCCGGTAAACAAACCAACTACGCGACAGACAAGCCACGCGATGATTTCGTAAACGCTAAAAGCCATGCAAGAGAGAAACCTTTGCTCTGTTTGGAAAAAAGTCAAAAATCTTAGTTTGTACTGAGGAATGGTCGAAACAGAATGCCGAAAAAGCCGAAGAATATATTCCGAATATTCGAAAATTCTATCCGACCTTCCTTCCGAACAAATATTTACCGAAATCAGTACCCGTTGAGTGCCCCTGATACCGTCTTATAGAGTCTGTCTTATAATGTTAAGAGAGTCGACTGTTTATATCTACCGTCGGGTAATCTGCCACCTAAAAGCCCCACCACTCATATAAGCCCCCCCGCCCCCCGCCAGTTATGGACCCATCAAAAACAAAACATACTACCTATTATAAGCCTCCTCCAAATGTATTGAAATGAGTTCTATCTGTTATGACGTTATGAAGCTTAATAAAAAAACCAATAAATGCAAAACGTATTTTGATCAGCACTGCTTTAGCTTGTTTCGAAGCGCTTTTTCTAATCCGGTAATAAGCCCCCTCGGATATGAGCCCCTCCCCTTGTAATCCCTCCTAAAACCCTTTACTAAGATCGGTATAATCCCAGGGCTCAATTAGGCTGCAGTTTACGAGTTTATACGTAGATGTGAAATTCCCCCTTCACTCACTCATCACACCTTCAGGCCTGACCAAAATCAAAACCAAAGTATGGCCTTCAGCTGAAACAATTCATCATTTACTTAATGTTTTTAAAAGCCCCCTTTTAAGAGTTTTTCTGCTCTTATTACTTTGTTAAGATCGCTCTTCTGAAGGGAAGCTCAAAGTCGTTTAGCTGCGGTGGATCTTTAATTGCTCCTGACTGGATTGTGACAGCGGCACACTGCATTTCATCCTTGTAAGCATTATCACGAACGTTTTTTATATGCAGATTATCCGGAGATTGTATAAGCACTTTTCCGCTGGGTCAGTATAGTAATTCAAAAACTTTGACTGTACAATGAATCAATTGATAAGATATAGTAGGAGTTCTAATCGCCTTCTACCTGGGTAACCCCAAAAAACATGTCGAGGGAGCCGTTTTTTGCATCTTGAGTGGAAAGAGACATTGCACAAAAAATACTTTTGATATTGCAAACAAATTGATGACTGACACAAATGAAAATCGTCAGCGAACCCTATTTCCGGTCGTCTCTTCTCTCCCTAGGTCTGTGTCTCGCAGGCTTTAATCAGCTCCCCGTTTGTAAGCTGCACAACAACACACTGACACAGTGAAAAGAAAAGTTATAATCATATGAATAATGAAAGAACGGCAGACACCCAGTTAAAAATGCCATCGGCTAATGAACCTCTTCGGGCTCTCCGAGTGATCAATCTTTTAATTTTGTTTTTAAACCAGATCAGGCTCGTATTACACTATTAGACTGGGAGACCATGACAGATATAGCAATGAAGGAACTGAAGAGGATATTCCAGGAAAAAGAGTAATCAGGCATCCGAGCTATAACAATCCAAGCCCAATCAACAACGATATCGCCTTGATACAGCTTGCACGACCAGCCAAATTAAGTGCAAGAGTTGGTACAGTCTGCTTGCCTGCACACCAGGAAAACGTTCCTTCTTCTGCGAAATGTTATATTACAGGTAATGAAAACGGAATTTTGTTTCTTAATTTTCTTTATTACTCTTGGTTTCTCAGAAAGTTTATTAATCTCTTTGATTGTTATCATGAACAGGTCCTCTTTCGTGACTTAGTTTTGCGCATGTCTGCTTTCAAATGGAACTGATGACATATTTCTATCTTCTGCAAAACTAAGCTGAAGGGATCATGTATTTTATGTTTAAAAAAGTTGTTTTAACCGTGCACAAACGAAAGGTACTTCCCCAATAACCTTTTCATGGATTTTCTCCTTCAAAATATCATTTTTGAACCTACAGGCTGGGGCAAGATCAAGCATCCGGGATCCTCACATCGTATTTTGCAGCAGGCCGTACTGCCTCCAGTAGCAAACGATGTTTGCGCGAAGAAACTGGCCTCATCACCAGGTAATGCCACACGGTACATGAACAAAATCGGAAATGCGAATATCTTGCCTTATTTTACTGATTCAAAATCTGAGTATCTATGTGGCTTAGTTACAAGGCAAAGACGTATCCAGTGATCGAGGAAAGACATGCACCAACACAGACCCATTACATTGAGAAAAAATGTTTTGCCTAGGCTTTGCCTTTTACCTGATAAGATACTGAGAATAACGAGTGGGAAAAATACACAAAGAAACAAAAAAAGACTAGAATTGTGTAATCTTTAGTGCGCTCGAACGTTAAAATAAATGGATTGCAGCGTTTTTCACCTACAAAGATACATTAAAAAAAAAAATCAAAGAATGTAATGGAACGACTTTTTCTAATTCTCAAGTATTACAGACCGTAAGATACAACATATCTTTGTATGAGTAAGGATAAATTAGCTGCACCCGTAGTCGTAAAAAATGTAGACTCCCTCTTACCCAGGAGAAACGGTAAACGGCAGAAAAATTTTGTCATCGCCTTAGTACAACTACGTGGCAAAGATGTAAGCCTACTCTTACCAGTAGGTAAAAACGGTTTATCTTAGGTCTCTGATTTGTTGATGTTTTATCGTAGGCGCGGGCAGACTGAGAATCACCGACCAAATGATTTGCGCGGGTAAGGAAGGAACCAACTTGAGTGGTTGCCATGGCGACAGCGGTGGTCCTTACGTTTGCCAGTCAGCCAATGGCAAATGGTTTTTACAAGGCGCTGTAAGCTGGGGATCCCCAAGATGCTCTGCTCAAGAGCGCTACACTGTGTTTGCACGAGTAGCGCAGTTCAGAAACTGGATAAACGGGTACGTCCGCGTGTAATGTGATGGACATTAAGGATAAACTAGTACACCCAAGTATACTACGCTGGGTTGAATAACAACGTTTGCATACGTTGAGTAGTGTAGAAGAAAGAGAAAGTAATAAAAATACAAGAAAAAATACAGGCTGTTGTAAGAATTGCTTGAAAAGATCAACCCACCCTCAGACGGTCTCAGGCGAATCGCCGGCTAGCTCACCATATTTACCAACATAGACGGAGAAAATTAAAGCGTCATATATATAGTGTATATTCAGCAAATCACCCATAAACATTTCAGAATTATGAACATTGAAAACAAGAAAAGAATAAAAGATTAGTCGAAAGAAAACGGTGATGATGTACGTTGTACACAAATTTCACAGATCCACACGCAAGTGAAAATTTGAAACCTGCATTGAGTCAGGACGCAATATTACACTCATTATAAGTAAGCCGGCAAAATCTCGAGCGTCAAAGAATTCCTCTCGAATGAAAATTTCTTTTCATTTTTTTGTAAAACACTGAAACCTACATTAATAAGAGGAAGCTAGCAAGGGTGCCATATATCTTATATTAGAGTACAGTTTCATTTTCATTTTAATTAATTAGTCATTCAATGCGTTGCAAAAATAAAGCTGAAGGTTAAAAGTGAGATCTGATGCTTGGACGATTACTTTGGTTTAAGATGTCGCGAGAGATTATTTTTTAGCTAATCAAAGACCATATAACCTGTCTAGTAAACTGGGCAGAGGCGGATGGTGCAGTGAGACTAAACTTCAAAATTCAGTTGCAAAATCTGTTGTTTTTGTCGTTGTTGCTGGCATTTTTAAATCAGCTATCACTTAACTGAGATAGGTGATACGGAAAGCAACACTCGCGTTCGTTTGACTTTACAGTCACGGTGGAACACAACACTAATTTTTCTTGCTTTGATGATAACTCTTCTCCGAGCTGAAGATGTCTAGCAAGCCGCATTTTTTGAACTTTTATCTTAAAGAAAATACACCGTGATAGGATAGGTAGAACCAATGTAAAATGTCTTCTTCCCATCTGCATACTTGGTTGACTGATGAAAAAGTATAGAAAGGAATCTTCTATCGATTCCATGAGCTAAAAATGTTCAAGTATCCTTTGATTCAGCATCAGTTTAATAATTTCACCAATTCCAAACAAAGCTTAGTTGGCCTCCGGAAAATGGTTTTTTCTGAGTCAGTGATTTGAGAGATGTCTTAAACTTAAGGCTTTACCTAAGACCGTCTTTTTCTTTGGTTGTGTGGGCTTTAAGAATTTTTCAGCCTCTACCTTCCATTTTGTTCCATATCTATGTTTTTTTATGTCGGGTCGAGAGTGCGCAGTGCTTTGCTTGGAACGAGCCATACCCAGGAGTAGCTGTGTTTTTTCTAGGGGCTAAATTGTGATTCCTGATCCTATAAAATCTCATGACCCCGTCAGGAAAAAATTGATCCCACAAAATTATACGCAAGCAAAAGTTTAGCCTGCGTAGCAAGCGTTTCCGTTTGGTTTCGGAGCAAAGACCGAGGAAGGGGACTTTCGGTTTTGACCGCGCGAGAAATGACACGAGAGCCAAAAAGTGAAAGAGGGGGGAGGGGAAGAGGAAGGAAGGAAACGCTTGCAGACAAACCCCTCGATTTTGAAAACCTGCGTTCGCCAGCGAACGCAGCGCCTGATTGGCTCGGCTAGTGGAACAATGTTGACGTGTCTCGATCAAAGATTGTTTCATACTGAGAGGTCATGTTTGGTACGTGACACGCATATTAATTTTCTGTGGTTATTGTTTATTCTGGTCGGCAAGATTTTCCCTCCAGTACAAGAGCATTTTATTTAACTTCTTTTGAAACACAAAGCTCTTCTTGCGACTTTATAAGGGTTTCAGGTCGTTTTATTTGTCTCCTGGATCTGAATTACTAAAAGCGATTTCCTTTTGTCAGGGAATGCGATGGTTTCCTGCAATGTTTTGTTATGCTGGGCCCAGCTCGTTAGTGTTTTTTTTTTTTGCGGGATGTTAAATTCTCTCGGATAGTGATTTACAGATACAAATTTTGAAGAATGGATTGCACCTTAAACTGAAGCTACATCAACTAGGAAGACCTGCATTGTGACTCAGTCAAAATTTCTGCTTGGTTCTCCACGCGAACTTTCAGTTGCCGGGTTAGCTTTGTTCTAGGATGCTTTTACAAGAGCAACCTAGTGGTCTGTGCCGTGGCGAGAACGGGAAGCCGTTCTGTCTAGCTGATCTAGACTTGAATGCTTGTCACATTTTACCACTTCAAATCCAACTTTCTGGAGGTTTAGAGCTAAAACTTTAAAACTTCATTCACCCTCGCGGTCCTTCCTTTTAGCCGGATTAAGAAGACAAATGTACAAAGTCTGCATTGATCGTTCGGATTCATTGAGATTTCACCATTAACGCCGTCCACGCGCTCCAAAATACAAAAAAAAAATTATTTTGGTTTCACAAACGCGTCCTCTAAAGTTCATTTCCGCTCCACGGAAGGCCAAACATTTTATTGGTCAATTATGACAGTTGATGACAGCATCAAATGTCGGTTCGCGAACTCAGGCGTGACAGACCAAGTGGGTGGTTTTCAAAATCCCGGGGTTTGACTGCAAGCGTTTCCTTCCTTTCTTCCCCACCGCCTCCCCGCTCTTTTACTTGCGCCACTTTTCTCGCGGTCTTTGACTCTCGTTCCTCATTCTTTTCGCCTAGACCGTACAGAAACGCTAGCTACGCAGGCTAGCAAAAGTTGAGATGTTCTAATACACGCACAACAGACCCACATGTGTGTTGTGTCCAGTTTATTACATTTAATAAAAAGAAACCTGAATTCCCTTTAAGGTTGCACACTATTGAGATAAATCATTAATAACAATCCTGTTTAACATATGGCATCATGCGTACTGATTGTCAGCTATTGTGTCATCGATCCAGTCTCTAAGGTACCTAATATTAGAGTACATCTGATGTTTGTATGGTTTCTGTGGGTCACAATTGGCGCCCCAACTGAAAGCACCTTCAAGGTACCATTTTCCTCGGAATTCTCTCACCAAAGGCCCGCCAGTATCGTCCTGGCATCCGCTGACTCTAGTGATATTTGACCCTGCGCATAGCATGGACTCGTCAATAATTCTCGTAGGGTGATCAGCGGAGCATGTGGATCTTGAGACCAGCGGAATCTGTGCCTGTTTTAGCTTTTTAGGAAGGGCGCCTGAAACAATATCTAAGTAGCCCCATCCGGTGATCCAACATGATTGGTTCGTGGGCAAAGGCGCTTCCTTATTTGGCAGGCAAACTAAACTTGCCCCATTTGATAAACTGGCGGGTTGCGATAGCTTTAACAATGCTAGGTCATTAGAAAAAAGGTTTGGCACATGATACTTGGGATGAATGAATATCTTTTCCACTCTGATGTCTTGCTCTGTGCCAATACTTTTCTCTCTGTAGTGTGCCCCAAGTCTGTTAATGAACGAAAATGTCTATTAATGACAAAGAAAGGATGATGACATGGAATTTTTTTAAACTTAATACATAATATCAAGTTTAATATTTTCTTTCAGTTAAGTTTTCAAAGAAAAATGAGGGAGAAGGGCCAATTGAAAGTGGATAAATAAACTCGTCATAGAAAATTAGTGCAAGAGTGGAACCGACAGTCTGTGTTGGGAATATCAAATCAGGAATGGTAGAAATTGTAACGTATTATACATTTGATGGGGAGAGAGGGCTAATTTTTAATAACAAAGCACAGTAAGCGAAAACTAGCATAATCTGCTTTCCACACCGAATTGAAAAAAAAAATGGGCTTCAACAGTAAAAATATAAAGATTTGGGTTTGGTTTGTACCTTACAAAGACATTTGATGCCTTCTTGCCATAAACACAATAAGCGGTTGTTAACACCCACTGAGGCAATATAAGAGACCCTCCACAAAACATTGGACGATCATGAAGTGTGAATCTCAGCATCGCCTGCCATGGCCAGGCGCCTTGTGGAGCTACGGAACCAGCTGATAATCGCGTGCTTGGTCTCGAACCACAGACTGCTGCAATGAGAGAATGGTGTTCCCGTTAGTAGGGTATGAACTTCTCAAGTAGTTTAAGGCCTGGGACTAAGGGGTTTACCTGTGGAAAATGAATTATTGCCTGTAACTTCGGCATAGATGATGGCGCTGAATCAAAATTTGGCACACATAAAAAACTCATTGTGCTTAAAATTTTAAAGTATAAATGCTGTGTTAATAAGTCGCGTGATATGTGACGTGACCACTTTGCTAAAAATCGTAAATTATTGACCAATTGGTCGCCGGTTTAAGAAAGAAATCGAGCAATAACATTTTTGTACTTCATACTAAATATTTCAAACACTTCACATTTGGAATGCCCGTCCTTTGCGCTTTAATAAAAAATTATGATGGAAAAAGGAATTTTAAATGCCCAAATTTAATTTTGAATGATTTAAAAGTTCAATTTTGAAACTTCACGTACGTTCATTCCAAACGTAGAAAGCTAGGTATGTTTATCCTTTGTTTATCTAAACAAAGCAAATTCGCCACCAATTCGCCAATTTCCTTCATTTTCAATTTTTGGTCACGTTACATGTCACATGACCATAATTAAACGTTATGGCACAAAAACACCTCAAGATTTACTTTTGGGGAAAAATTCATTTATATTGCCATTCATTCATATGCTCAGAACACGCCTTTGACCCAGGCCTTAAACCAGGATAAACTCTGTACATTCGACTTGAAAAATATGTCGCGACTTCATAAATAAAGCCAAGAGAGAATGATAAAGCTTGTTTAATTCTAATACTAAAAACTAAAAGGTTACTTACGACCCTCGCAAATTCCACTTGCTTGATTTTTTCGAAAGCCAGGTTCACAGGTAACTGGAAGAGAACCTTAGATTAGTCGACCTATAACTTGTCTGTTCTTTATTGGGAAGGCGTTACCAAACGGATAAAAGTGACACCAACACTAAATTGAGGATAAGAGGTGAACAGGAGTTTTCCAATGACAGACTATAAATGTGATCATGAATTTTATGCTCGTAAACAATACAAGAATGAGGTTTTTCATTCATTGGGTGGCACAGGCACTCGGATACCGAGTCATCGGTATCACTTACTGAAAACTGAGAAACGTCTTCCTCGTAAGATGTTTTTCACTTAATCAACTCTAATTCTAAAAGGAATCAGAGATGGGCAGTATCTTTGAAAACCTCAAAAGCATTCGCTTCCCTCCTTCTTACGATAATCTCAGAAAATAACATTTTATTGATTAGGAATGAGTGGAGTCAAAGTCAGCCTGTAATCATACTCGTTGATTAAAGTTCTGTTACCAATTGATAGTTATGATATACTATGAAAGTAATTTGCAATGATTCTCTTGTTGACATTGCTACTCTTGTTAATTGGCTGAAAAAATTGCCTCGCCATCAAAATAAAATTTCACAAACAAAATAAAAACCATAAGAGTTGGCCTAACATATATAACTAGCTCTCCGATCATATTCTCCTTGAAATTAAATAACACAACTACTAAGGACTTCGTTTGTAGCACTGATAATTTTATAGATGTTTAACTTGGCCTTCAACGAAAATGAGAAACTTTGCTTATAGCTCATTTTATGTATTTCATTCCGATTTTTTATACGGAGCTGTACCTTTTATTGTAAACCAAACATTTGGTTTAGTCCAGCCATTGTACTCAAAAAGTGACCATTTGCGAGAGTTAGTTGCCTTTACCAAAACCTGCAGAATAAAGGATCAAACAAACAAGCAAACAAACTATATTGTTTGAGGGATAGCCCTGGTAACGGTTACAATAAGATTTTTAAAAATGTTAATACCACCAACACATGTAGACCACAGGAGAATTAGAATGGCCCGCAAAACTGATTTTGCCGGCCGATCAGGCTCGGAGCCTGCTCGCAAGCTACTCATGTGCCACATCAAGCTAAGGCTTTAAACACTGATTGTCTTGTTTCCTCTCGTACCTCGCGCATACAAATAAAATGGCTATTTTAGCTTATTTTCAAAAGTGTCACCGAAACTTCGACGTATAAAGTTCACGACTTACGCGTGCAAGCTGCCATTTAGGAAACCATCCGGACTCGTCTCTTTTAATGGCAATGGCTGTAATTGTTCCAACGTCGGCTGTATTTCTTAAGTAGAAGGTGTCTTGTCTAGTTATGATAAGATAAACAATAACAAGAGTCGTTTTTAAAAACTAAAATATTAGTTTTCGTCTTTCCTGGTTCTAAACTGTTTTTATAAAAAACAAAGATGTGGATAGTTAAAAAGCGGAGAGGTAGTTTTTCTGAACAGAATATTCTATTATCCCTAACAATTTAAGGGTTATCTTGGCTGGAGATCAGATAAATCAAATCCTTCGCTTTAAGGACCAAGGCCCTTCAGTGGTCACGTGATCACTCATGATCATGTGACCATCAATGGCCAATGAAGTCCAAATAATTTGAACGAAATATCCAGGTAAATTATCATTGCTTTGAGTTCAGTGAAATATGTATATGAGTACTTGAAATGATGAAAATTTCCTTGTTATCTCAAGGCTACCTTTTTAATATTAGAAAAGCGTTGAAACTCATGTGCCGTTTTGATATATTTAAAGAGAAAACTTCCATCAAGGAACCAAAATTATTTTTGTTAACATGCTTTTGTTATGGAAAAAAAACCTTCTAACCGTAAAGTGCTAGATCATTAAAATAACTCAAATACTGACTTTCCCCTCTCAAAAGGATCTTCATGGGTGGCATCCAACTCATGCTCAGCGGTTGATTCCTTCGTTCCGAATATCTTTATGTACACTTTTGCATCTGTCCCGGCACCTAACGAGTTTCCCGTTGTTACTTGTACTTCATAATCTGAAGAGAAAACACAAACAAAACAAAATAAAAATAAATCCAATTCTTTTTAGTCGAATTTTCTTTATCATTGAAATGTGCCAACAATCCAGCTTTCAACTTTGGTAGTTTATTAAAGCGATTCTAAAACTCTAGCACCATGATGTTTGAAACTGAAACGTTTGAAAGTATCAGTCTTAGCTTTCTTTTCTCCTGCTCCGTCTTAAATGCTCAGTATTAATTGAGAGTCAGGTGCTTCAGACTGAAAGCAGGATTATCGACTTCGAAATGTACCACTCAAATAACAAACAATAGGACATAGTAGACTTTTAGTAAAGCGATAGCTGCTTAATTACTTTTGAAATGGCATCGTGTGCGTAAGGTTATAATCAGTAACTCTTGTCATTGCAGAGGCACCAATCACCGAGAAGTCTCCCTCGTAATACTGCCAAATCTGCAATTACACGCAAAAACTAAGGCTACATATTTAACTTACCGGCACAAATAATTTCCTTGAAAAGTGCAATGCTCGGAAAAATTGTCAGGAGAAATGGGGAGAAATATTTCATGTCTTTCAGGACAATGTAATTCGATAGTACTTTGATGTGATACTTGACTCCTACTTTCCGAGCAAATGATATTACGCATGCGATAACCTCACTGTAGATATAGGTCTATAGCAATCGCTTATCAGTTTATATACAAGAGGTTCACCGTCAAATTGTGCAATAGGAAATG